AGTAAAAAAAATAAGTTTTAAAAGTGCATAAAATAATATATATATATATATATATATATATATAATAAAAAATAAATTAAAATGAGTGCAAAGAAATTAATTTGCAGTTAAGTTGCGTACAGTACAGTATGTGTGTTCTATGCTGCTGCTGATATTTACTTTATGCACGCTGTACAAATACACAACAAAAATGACAGCAGAAAAGAGCAGCTGTGTCATTCAGTGTTAACTCAACCAGAGGTCTCTGGTGGAATTGATTTTTTTATGCCAAAGTATGGCAAAAATATGAAATGCCACCGATGAATATTTACGGAGCAGTAGCTACACTATTTTGTAGAGGGGAGTCAAAATGAGATTTTGACCTTTCACCTGAGATTTGGAGGCAAATTGCAGGAGAGGAAAATTATTTTAGAAAGATGGACTTTCTAAAAGATTGACTTTAGCCATTTTTGTTGCATTATATGCCAATTGTGGGGGGAAAAAAAACGGGAGAAGCACTTTTCACATTTCTTCCCCAAAGTTTGCCTGTAACTCAAGGCAATTGAATTTTAAATACTGGTTCTTAACTTTTAGTATCTTCATTTTAAGGACCTATATGGTTTATTTCCAAATATATGGATGTCGCAGTCTGGCTCCATTGTTGACTAAATGAACCTGAAAAAACACCCAACACCCACTTGTTTTGTAATCATTGTGTGCCAATGGCAATTTGAAAGTGTTTTCCAGGAGGTTTTCCAGATTCCAGAGAGTTAGCTTTGGCAAGTTTCAAACCACCACTCCAAACAAACACCATTTTGGCCACATTTTTTTCGAAATTACATCACACCCATTTGCTCTTGGATTTCGCTTGAAGTATATTGGGGCCTTAAATGAGGCATGTATAGATTAAGTGAGCTCCCACAGTTGCAGTAAAGTTTTAGCGTCGCTGTTTGAGTGAAGCCTGATGTCCTTTTGTGACCGTTCGAGTTTTCTCTGAATGCTGCAAACACAGTAGGGTGGAATTGACGAGGGACATTATGAAACCCCCTCTGATCTCCAGATTAGGAATTCAAACTGTACCATGTGACTGGGTCATTCCTGTGAGCTGGTTCTGCTCTTTCTATATGCTGCTTCTTATATTTTCCCAAATGTTGATCTGCTGTTTTTCCGTAAACACCATTTCTTTCTCCCTCAGGGCTCAAGGGACACGCCGGAGGTGGCTGCAATGGCCCTAGCTATACTTTTCACGGCGATCCTCACGCCATGTTTGCAGAGTTCTTTGGTGGCCGTAGCCCATTCGATCAGTTTTTTGCGTCTGCTGGGGGCGCAGATGATGACATGGACATTGATGACCCCTTTGCAGCCTTCGGAATGGGAGGAATGGGCGGACGCACCAATATGGCGGCGACGTTGACGTGCGGTCGAGCGGCCAATGAGGCGTCTAGGTATTTATTATGTCTATGGTCCGTCAGTTCAATTTCTAGGCTCTCATAGTCTGCATGCAGTGCACGCTCCTCGCCGCAGGAGGCGCTCGTTCAGTCACAGCTGCAGCATCTGTCCCGAGCGCCGCCGAGCAAGTCATTTTTCTCGGACTTTCTGCGGACGCTCGGCGACGTTGACAACTAGATTACAGTGCGTTTCGCCGGGAACTCTGTGATATTAAAGTTTTACATCGATTAAAGTTAGAAGAGTCTTGGGAAAATGATCGCATATTGGAGGGACGCGGCAGTGGCTGTGCGCGATATGTGAGGATTTGGATAAATAACTTAAAAACAGTTTGATAAATTCCATCCGAGCGCTTCACGTTCGACAGGATAGGAGGAGGGGGATCGTTTAAAATTAGTCCGATCGGTCAATATTCGGAGGATATCGACATATGGAAACGGGTAGTTGAACAACAGCGGGGTTTTAGTCGAGTGTTGTGATGGGTAAAGATTATTACAGGATCCTGGGGCTAGCGAAGGGCGCCTCAGATGAGGAGATCAAGAAAGCCTACAGAAAACAAGCTTTGAGATTTCATCCCGACAAAAACAAATCAGCCGGAGCAGAAGATAAATTCAAAGAGATCGCCGAAGCTTACGATGTCCTGAGCGATGCCAAGAAGAAAGACATCTATGACAGATGTGGAGAGGATGGTAAGAGCTGTCATTGTCCCGCTATAGATAAAGGGATAGATAGATAGATAGATAGATAGACAGATAGCCCTTAGATATATAGATAACGTTAGATAGATAGATAGATAGCCCTTAGATAGATAGAGAGATAGATAGATAGATAGACAGCCCTTAAAATGTACTGTGTGGCAGAATAATACACCTTTTAGTACTTTTTGTAAGGATAGCTAAACACAATGATATGCTATTAATTAAGCTGTGGAAACATTGTTGTGGAAATGAATACAATTGAAAAGGAAACAAGTCACATTGTATTGTTTATTAAAGGTGTAGATTGTAGATATTTCTTTATTATTATTATTATTGTTATTACTATCATTATTATTTAAAAAGAGACATGCCATGTGCCCTGATATGTGTTTCTGCTTTTCGGTGGTACCCTAAAGGCCCCGATATACTCACCGCAAAGTTTTTTTATTGTTCTTCACTCAAGGGTAAAAAAAATAAGTTTTAAAAGTGCATAAAATAATATAT